AAAGTTTGAAAACAAGTAACATTTAAACACAGCACGGTATTCTACCACAACTGAAACTTTTTTCTTCTCTTCTTTACAGGACTCAACAAAATCTAAAAATGAACTATGCTGTAGATTTACCTCATGCAAAGGTCTTTATGTTATCTCTGAAAATGAAAGGATGGCTTTTTAAAGCACATTTTACTGTTTTATACTATTATGGCAACTTGTGTTACTGCAACACAGTCTATTTGAGGGAAATTTATGATTTTTTTCATGCAAAAATCTACACAAATTAGTTTTGATGATATGGAAAGCTTTTCATAGCATCAAACATTCATCTGTGCAAATGCACAGGGAAACCTTCCTGAAAAGTTTTCTGACTTGAGAAGCACTAAAAGCCATACTAGCTAAATAAAAACTAAAAAAAGAAAAAAGAAAAAAAAAAAAAAAGAAAAGAAAAAAGGAAGGGGTGGCAAAAGGGAAGAGGGGAAATAGAAAAACACAGGCTGCAGAGTAAACCAATGTCTGCTGCTAAACCGGTCTTTGTTTTCATGTCCAGTGTACATTAACACTTATGATCTCATTTTGATGATTTACTAAGTTTGTTATCAGCCCCCTGAAGGCAAATCAAGCTTGCATGCGTTCACATACCAGCACCACAACCACACTCTCGTACACAGTCACTCCAGGGCTAGGAGTCTACTTCATGGGTGAAGAGCCCTAGATTTGGAAGATGTACCTGGCTCTCCATCACTGAGCCAGACATTCATTCAGCATCGTCCATTCACACACTGCTTCGTAGCAAGGCCTGGGCTCACTTTCCTTTGACTAATATGGGCATCCTATTCTCTTTTATGCTACAAGGCTTGAAGATGACAGTACTGCATTTCCCCCTCAATTGGTATAGAGTAAGTCATGTTCCATTCTCAGGCACTGAAGATCTGTGACCTGTAGCCTTTTTCCTTTGAACAACCTAAATAAGCATTCATGTAAAGTTTTCGTTACATATTGCCCACTCATTCTCACTCGCACCCACTCGCCATCTTGACCTCATTTGGGCATTTTCTGGATTCCAATGAAATCTTCACATTTTCTTTCCCGATTTAATGCAGCAGCAGATCCCATGAGCCAAGCTTGATGGATCAAAACTTTTTATATATATGTATATATATATATATGTATCTCAGTGCTGCATTGTACCTAACTTCCACACATCTTTCTAAAACTGGAACCCCTTCTGTTGGTACATTGGCAGATGAATTGAAACCAAATGTTCCACCTTGTATTGCCTCTGGAACAAGGCTAGGATCTTCATCAATCTAAGGGAAAAAAGAAACAAAGCGATGATTAATTTTCAAGTGCATAAACAGCACTACAGTAATATTCCCATTTTTCTTTGAAAAAAGCATGTGACAAATGACAGATGACAAATACCAACATTATCTTACTATCCCTTTAAGGAGCTGCAAGCTTTTTTCTTAAGGGTCACCAGAATGGGAGAAAACTTAAGAGAAATATGCAAAATGGATCTTTTTCTAAAAGAATCAAACATAACTAACAAACTGGAGATGGTCCTACATCTCAAACTGAGAGTACACTCACTATAATTGCCTTATACCTTGGCAAATATATATAGTTATGTCATTTAAAAAATTCTGCCAGCACTTTTACAGGCTAATGTAACTTTGGTTATTTTTTAAAATAACAATTAGAAGTCACATTTGGGCTTAAAATAGCAACATAATAAAATAAAATGTTATATGCACTTTAATATTTAAAAGTATTTTGGAAACACCACAAAATTACAAACCTACAGTGTCATTCTGAGGAATAACACCACATCATCTGAATGATAATTAGCACAATGTTAAGATAGTGAAACCGAGCTGCATGCTAAGGTACTGGTATTAGAAATCCTAAGTCCTGTGTATACTCCTAATGCAAGTTAGGAATCCACCCAAAATCTCATGTGCTTATAGCTAACTTTGAAAGAGTATGCTTTTTCTGGGTTTTATTTTTGATTTATTTAAAACTGGCATTTATATTCAAAATAGAACTTTAGTGTGATCATCTGTAAGTAAAACATCTATAATTTTCTAATTTTCTTTGTCAGATTACATACTTGCTTAACAAAACTGTTTAATAACATTCAGTCTTCTTTGATAGTGTTGAAAAGTCTGTGGTGGTAAGACTTATTCTTTTAAGCTTAGAAAATCATTCAAGAAATCCACTTGTGACTATACCTAATCATTGTAATTTTCTAAGGAATGATTACTTGAATTTTAGATTTACTTTTCCAAAGAGGCAATACTAAGAGTAAATTAGTACTTTAATTTCAAACCATCACATATTGACAAACTGAAGATACTTTTATGTACTATATATTATATAGTAATTTATCTTTCTTGATGACTTGTTTTTATTTTATCTATCTTCATGTTTGCTTTTGGTCACCAATCAAAAACAACAGTGACAATACATTCAATCATGGATTAAGTAATTACTGCCATACGGGACTTACTAAGGATATACAAGTATGATTACTTTGTCTATAAACATATTAGGCTATTATAAAATATGAGAACTACAGAGATAGCAAGTGAAAATAAAGCCTGACTTGTCAGTGTAAAAAAAAATAAATAAAATAAATCCTGATTTTCTTTGATCATCACAGATAAAGAAATTACTAGTTTTTAATGCCCTACAGGACCTAAAATATTATTTTTGTTCCTGCAACAGTAACATTATTGTCATATACCTATTTTAATTCTATTTAAAAAAAAACATACGCGGATGTTCTTCCTAGCTTACTATTATTTCATGCAGACTTTTATGTTTACACATAAAACTAAGGAAACTATAAAATTATTAAATACATCATCTGAAGAGAAGAACTGATCAATGATCTCATAGGCCAATTTGTAGATGTCTTCATTTTCATGATTTTGAAGTTGTTCAATTTTCTCCAGTCCTGCAAGAAATTTTATGAAGCAAAACAATGATAATATTTAGAAGTAGTGACAAAAAAATTACAATAAACTTGGTATCACATAACCCAATTTTTATATTGCAGATCTATAGTTTTGAGAATCTATTCTAAAGGTGCATTATAAAAAAAGATTTTATGCACAAAGATGTATTTCAAAAAGTTAACCACCTATTTAATTGCATGTAATTTTTTAGGTAAGCAATGAGGTTATCTATTAAGTAGAATACCATATAACCAATGTTTATAAGGAGTAGTAACATGTAAAATTGCTTTTGTTTGTTAAAAGTGAAAGATTTTTTTTTCTATTTCCAGTGTCTAAAGATTTTCTAGTGAGCATACATTAAAAAAAAATTAAGATTAAGAATTAATTATTAAGAATTATTTAATATGAATGGAAAAAGATCAAGATCAACGACAGAATTTCAGGGGATAAACACAATTTACCCTGTGAACATTAATGAAATTATGAAAGTAGAAACACTAAAAAAGAACACACGAACTTGTTGATACACAAAGTGAGTCTTGTCTTTATGGGAATAGTTCATTTTAAATCTCTAAAGTACAGTGAAATTTCCCATTCAAGAGTGTTTTTCCTTTACCTATTCCTAAAGTGGAGAAAGTTGTTTTGGGACTTGTTTCTTACTCTACACGCCTTCCTTCTGGGGTCTTTTCATTTAAAAAGTTAGCTACTACACACAGGGCTGAGGATTTGCAAATCTATAGTTTTATAAATGCCTGAACAATAATTCTGCCAGGACATTTCGCAGGCACCTAAAACTCAAAATGTCTAAAGCAATTTGTTATTGCCTTTCCCTCATCAAACTGAGCATTCTACTATATTCTACTTGGTGATACTCAACTTGAAATGTCAGAGTAAGGAAGAGCCTTTCCCTTAAAACTCCACAATCAAATCTCAGAACCTCAAAGTTCATCCATTTCTTGAATCTCATCAAAATCCCTGACTTCATTTTCCATGGCTGGACTTTTATACACTTTCCTAATTGATTTCCTGTCTTCTGTCTGCACAATCTAGTCCCACTTATATCCACATTCCATTAAAACACATCCATCCTTAGGCAAAAATCTTCCAATGGCTTGTCATACCCTACAGCATAATCTATTGGGAAACTTATAAAATACAGATTCTGGAGCCTCACCTTCACTGAGGTGGGTAATATGCAACATCTGTATTTTAACTTCAATATATAAAAGTAATTTTTAATAATTAAAATGTTTACATAAGAAAAAGATAGTGAAAAATTTTTAACTATGCCTGTTTTTAGTTTTTCTGGTATTCATGTCCTAATTAATTAGTTCCCTAACGTTATTTCCCATTTCTTATTACTAACTTAGTAGTTATGCGTTATTTTCATTGTTACTTAAGTAACTTTAAAAAATACTATTTCTCAGTAATTTTCAAGCTGCTGAACCCTCCACTATATTGCAAATGTAGATTCCCCTATTCCTATAGTTATAACCCTCCTTTCATTTAATTCTTAATTTCTATCAGAAATACCTTTACTTTTAATGTTAAGCTCATCCAGGTTGATACCCCAATTTGAGACTTCCATGTTCTGCTTCATGTTAATTCTGAGTTGAAAGCTAAGATGTAGAGACACTCCAGGTGTCTCTGGGCTTTGGTATTCAACCAGATTTGGGAACCACTGCCCCAAAGTATAAATATCTGCTATGTCAAAAAGTTTGTAAGACTGCTTATTGGCTATGTCTCCAGTCTCACATATGGGCAGTTTCTACCCCATACTTTGAGATTCAGCAACACTGAACTACTTATAATTTGCTGAATGCTATTTCTCACCTCAGACTTTGCTCATGGTGTTATCTCTGCCTGGAACACCTTTCATCCCTTTTTACTTTATTAATCCTTATTCATCTCTCAAAATCCAGCTCAGGTGTCACTTCCTGCTTCTTCCAGGATGGATTAGGTATTTCATTTTGTTGTACATTTCTATTAGGGTAATTAGCACATTAAATCAGTTCATATTTATCTCCATGACTAGACTACATGCCTTGAGAGCAAGGACTGTGTGGTGTTTACCACTGTCTTTCCAGTACCTTAGCACAGTGCCTGTTCAATATATGGCAGCAAGTCAGTTACCTAAGAATATGCAAGTAGCTGAGCAGGACTGTACATATAGAACATAGAATTTACTTTATTCTGTTACTTGATTATCTAAGACAGAAAAATACAGAAGTGCTATATTAGTCAGAAAATAAAAATAGTTACCAAAAGAACATTAAAATTTGGAATAACAGTTTACAATAAACTTACCTCCACATTCTTCTATAAGATTGGCTATGGTTTCTGCCTCGTCTTCAGCCATTTTTAATATATTACTTAGTCCATCAAGTACTACCTGCACAACTTGTGCATCTTTTACTGTCAGCAAATTGCAAAAAGGTGGGATAACATTTTGTTGGATTAGGTAAGCCACCTGAAGAATAAAAGCATGATGATAAAATAAACATTAGTGAACTTTATTTATGTACTATATTTCTCTCACTGAGAAAATTATGATTTTGAAATTCTAAGTATGAAAATATGATTTTATCTCTCACATGTTTAAAGTTAAGACTGTATTAGTTTAGGGCCTCCTTGGTGGCACAGGGGTTCAAGTCTTAGCGCTATCAAGCTATCACCAGCCATTTCGGCATGAGTTCAATCCCAGACCAGGGAGCAGACCCACATGATACAGCAGACCTCTCCTGTCTCACCCTCTGGTTCCCTCAGTAGTGTGTTTCAGTAGATCTACCTGTTCTGCTCCCCACTCTATCTCTGGTGAATCATTTCACCCTTGCACCTCTGGCCTCCACCCCAGTTCTTGTATGGATAAATAAATCTTTTTTAAAAAGATTTATTTATTTATATAAGCACTGGGTACAGTCAGAAGCGTGGGAGGGTGAGAGGATTCACCAGAGCCAGAGCAGGGAACAGAACAGGCAGAATGACGAAATACACTGCTGAGGGGAGCAGCGGGCGCAACAGGAGAGGTCTGCGTGCCATATGGACCCTAGCTGGTGGCCGGGGATCGAACCGGTGCAGCAGAGGCTGTGGGCAGCTTCGCAGCCCAGCGCTCAACCACTGCGCCACCAGGGAGGCCCAAAAAAAAAAAATAAATCTTTATTAAAAAAAAAAAAATTAAGGTTTAACCTGTTCTTTTTAATGTAGTAAGTATACTTTTTTAGAACTTGGGGGGAAAAAATGAAATGAATTACTCAACTTTATATAAAATATTCTTTGCCAAAAGGAGTAGTTTCTTCAAAGATCTTTCCTCCAAAAAGGGAACCCTCTTACTTTGCTGATGGGAATGCAAACTTGTCCCACCACCATGGCAAGCTGTGTGGGGTTCCTCAAATTACTAAAACTGCAGCTACCACATGACCCAGAGACTCCACTCCTAGGAATCTACCCAAAGGATACAAAAACATTAATTCAAAAGGAAACTTGCATGCCTATGTTTATTGCAGCACTACTTAAGATGTGGGAACTAAGCACTAAGATACGGGAACAACCTAAATGCCCAAAAGCAGATAACTGAATCAAGATGATGTGGTACATATATATAATAAAATACTATTCAGCAATTGAAAAAAGATAAACTCATGCCATTTGCAGATGGATGGAATTCAGTGAAATAAATCAGAAGGTAAAAGGAAAGAGTGGATGTTCTCACTTATAGGAGGAATACAGGGAATCTGAACAAAGGGTTAAAAAAAAAAAGAGATACAAAACTTGCAGGAAAACTATAGATCTGAGGCAGACAGCAGGTAGATGGGTCAAAAACCACACCAAGGGACTGTGGTGATGGTTCATGGGTGAAGTGGTGGGAGACTTACGGGGACTACACACAAGCATAGAAATCATCTATTATACAAAGTTAAACAATACTGTAATAAATTTTTTTTTCCGTTAAGATTAAGAAATTATGAAATCAGTGAAGAGTCTGCATATATTTTTTTAAACTATAATTACTCAATGTGAGGGCATCCAATGGCTCTTTGCCGTAAACATTTTGTACTTTTATATAATACCTGCCAACTTCTCAATTCACTATTCTATTTGTTCCAGTATATTTTCAAAGTATTTTTCAATCATTTATATATTTTGTTAGTTAGGCTGCTATTTCCATGCATTATTTTTATATTCTGCTCTGTACCCATATTTAACTGTATTCCTTAGCTCACACCAAACCCTAGTTTATTTGTGACAATTAGTAGTTTATCAGCTCCAAATTTACCCTTTCCACCTATCTGTGAAACATATCTGGGAATCTTAAAACTTACTTTCTTTTTGTAGTTGGTACAATGTTAAGCTATGTCACCCATATAACTTTGAGAGTGAGAGTCACTTTGAATTTTATACCCTGGACACATCAAATTTTTCACTTCGGTTCCCCGTCTCAACCCTTCTGGTTGAGTTAAGTTCCTTGTTTGGTTTGCAGCTGGTAAATTTTTGTTCTTATCGTTTGTTTGCTTTCTTTTTCTGTAGTTAAGTCACAAAACACCTCTTTTGCTATTATTTTATTTTTTTGAAGATTTATTTATTGATGCATATAAGAACTGGGGTACAGGCCAGTGGTGTGAGAGGACTCACCAGAGACAGAATGGGGAACAGGCAGATCTACTGAAATACACTGCTGAGGGGAGCAGCGGAGAGGCAGGAAAGGTTTGCCACACCATGAGAGTTGATCCCTGGCTGGCAGGGGAATCGAACTCGTGCTGCAGTGGCTGGCGAGAGCTTCACAGTAGTGTCTTTAGCCCCTGCGCCACTAGGGACACCCGCCTGCTATTACTTTAAATGATGATTTACTGAAATATAAATCCAACTTATTTTACCAGTTTTCAGAAATAAGTAAGAGCTAAACTTACTTGATCTTTCCTTCCACTAATTGTTAAGTTACTTATGGCCCAAGCAGCTTCTTTCTGAGTGCCAAAATCCCCCTGTGAAAGTAGAGCAAAGTCAAAAATTGCAATCAAGTGTAAACTGGAAAAATATTTTGAAAATTTTCAACTCTTATTTTCCCAGGCTACCTCCTAGCTCTTCTACATACATACATAATTTTTACATATGTGAAGTTAAAATAAAGTATCCCTTAAACACACAGCAAAGTTTAAAAGATGATAATGTTCACCATCAGTGAGACTGTTATAAAGATATCATTCTTACACACTGCCTTTCAAATACAACTGATAAAAAGCCTTATCATTTAGTAATCTCACCTTTGAAAATTTACCAAGAAAATAAAGTAATATTATGTATCTTTCTGCATAATTTCTCAACTCACAGCAGTACTTAACAATCAAAAAGTAAAAGCAACCAAGATTCTCAACAGGGGAATAAATGATGTAATATAGTTAATCTAAAAATAAATAAGCAACTGTTAAATATTAAGATGGCAAATCAACTTGGACGAATGCCTATGATGTATTAAGGAAAAAAAACAACAACAAAATAAGAGGAATAAAAATTCAAAGTGCAACAGGATAGCTGTTGTTATTTATCAGATAAAATACAAATATTTGATGGTGAAGCTGATAAGAAGGCAAAATGGCACAATTCTTATAGAGGGGGTGAGCATTAGATAGTAAAAATTTACACATATGACTATTATTAGAGCTAGTAATCATAAATGTAATCTGATAAAGGCATGGAAAACATCCATAGTCTTTTAAGTAAAATACTAGAAACATCTTAAGATCACAAAATAACAAATTAATTGACTATATTACAGTACATCCATATAGTGGAGTACTGTGACGCTACAAAAGGATAAACGAAAGGAATAAGGATGCTTTTTACATAGTGTTATTATATGGGAGTGATCTCCATGAAAAAAGAAATATATAAAACTTTTTAAAAGGCAGTGCAAGAATATATAGCAGGCCACCCTCTGTGTAAAAATGAGTGAAAATAGGCAGTTGCTTATATTTAAAGAAGAAGCAATGAAAGTATAAACCCAAAACTAATAAAATGATAGCTTCCCATAAAGGAAGAGAGAGAATAGGGAGGAATGGATGAAAATGGAAGTAGACTTGGTGTATTTAGCTTGAAAACAATGTATGTATTTTTCACTTGGAAACCATATAAATGTTTTATATAACCTAAACCAGAATTAAAATAAAAAACTAAAGTAACTCCCCCAAATTAAAAAGTGAGTGGCAATGTGGTCTTATTATTTTGATAATTTTAAATTATAATATCTCAACACATAAAGCACATAATTTAGTCCATGTTTAAACATTTTTAGCACAAGAGAAAAAAGGATGAAAATATCAAAGACACAATAAAAACAGTTATCCTAAATACCCAGTAATGACTGAGAGCTTCCTTTTTTTTTTTAAAGATTTATTTATTTATTTATTTACTTATACAAGCACTGGGTATATAGTCAGAAGCACGGGAGGGTGAGAGAATTCACCAGAGCCAGAGCGGGGAGCAGAGCAGGCAGAAGGACTGAAGTACACTGCTGAGGGGAGCAGCGGGCGGCAGGAGAGGTCTCCATGCCATGCGGGACCCTCCTCTGATGGCCGGGGAGCAGCCGGGGATCGAACCGGTGCTGCAGAGGCTGCGGGCAGTTTCGCAACCCAGCGCTCAACCGCTGCACCACCGGGGAGGCCCTGATAGCTTCCTTTTTGATGTTTCTTATGAATGCTCACATTCATGAGATTACAATATATTTTTTACTTTCTAAAATAAAATACATTCTCACCTATTTTGTTCATTCAGGCCTGGAAACAAAGATGGCCTTATAGCAATGATCATCTTTAAAACCTGAACCATGACTTAAAGAACACCCACTACAAAAAAGGAGGCAGGGTTCCCTGAGGAAAAAGTAATTCCAGCTCTAGGTCAGAAAATTCAAGGAAAGCCAGGGACTCATGTAATATCCAAAAGGTAGGAAGCGCTCAAAGTTAACTACAGTGATGTAAAAAAGATTAGACACCAACTTTAAGTAGTTCCCACTAGTAAGTGACAATGTGAGTCAGAAAGAATTAACCACCATAAAGAACTAAAATTTATAAAATATAAATAAAAATCTGTAATTTTCCTATGACAATAAAAACTGCCCTTGGTCTCCTTTTGAGGTTGCTAGGGAACCATTTTATTTTAAAAATAAAAATCAAGACTTTATCTTGCCTTTTCTCTAGGAAATATATTTCACAGTAAACCAATAGCCAAGAAAAAACTCTTTATTAGAAGAATCAAGAGTAATACATTAAGAATGAAACACAAAATCAGAAAGTTGCCATTTTGCAGTTCCTAGAAATATGAGGGATCTAAGCCATGAATCAATGACTGCCTAAAAACCATTAGGTGAAAGACTGATGGACACTGCCTATTCAGTTGGAATAGGCTCATTCATCAATCTTAGTATTACTAGATGTAGTGACAGTGTCTCCTATTGTGCATGATTAGCAAGTACAGCAGTGCCTTAAGTATTCTTGCCTAAAAAGCGGATCTATTAGTTTATAGGAAACATGGAGGAAAAGACACAATAGCTTCTCTTTAATTACAAATCCATGTTCAGAAATACCCTTACGTTGGATTGTGACATTTTAAATTATCTTTTCCCTCAAACATTAGTGTAATGTTTGACACAGCATTAGAGTTGACACAGCTTTCAATCAGATAGAATACATAAAACTTGCTGTTTGGTGTTGGGCAACTTGCCAATACCTTAGTTTCTTCATCTGCCACATGGGAAGAATTCTTAATCTCATAAAAATTAGAGTAGTAAATGAGGTAACATATGTGAAGTGTATAGTACAATATATAGCATTTTGAATTAGTAGTATTAATATTAATTTTTAATAAATCCCATGATAATAGTAATTTTGGAAAAAGAGTGACACAGAAGGGTCAGTGGTTTGCAAAATGAAATCCTACTTACATATAAAATCTACTGAGAAGATTTAATATTAACAATACTTTATTATAGTATTCATGTTTCTTTATAAGCCCTACCTAAACAAACAGAAAAATATATATTCACATCATCTGTTGCGTTTAAATCCCCTTCCTCTTACTTAGAGATACACAAGATAATCATCTTACCTTATCCAAAAGGTGTATTATCATTGGTACAAGATTGGCGTCAATTACTGCCTGAACCTGCTGCTGATTTCCTGCTGTGATGTTGGAGAGGAACCACACTGCTTCCTGTAGAACAAAGTCTCTTCAACATTTCTCATTTTTAAAAATAAAATCTGCATCTGAACTAAGAACACACATTTACTACAATATCCAAATGGCTTTATTGTGGAATGAGCTCCAAAATAAAAGCTTTAGAACTCTTAACTCCTTCATTCCCTTTCCACATTTTCTTTGGCCCTAATCCAAATCATAATGAACTAATAACCCTTCCAAAGAATTGTGGAAAGCAGTTTTCTCAAACATAAGCTCCAAAGAAGCTTGGCTGAACAAATAAGGGATCAATGAACTGAAATACAAATCCTAAAACTATTGTAAGTGATATTTAGCACCTCCCTCACAAAATAGTGCTTTACTCTCTTTTCTCATCAAGAGTCCTAGCCAAAGTAGATCAATCTTAATTATCCATGACAATGGAGTCATGAAACATGAAATACTGGGTTGCATGTAGTTCGCTTATTTGTACTTGTCATTCACTGCATCCTTTCTCTCAAGAGCTAAAGTGAAACCAGTTATTTGATTCCTTTATTGGTCTACTTTAACGATCTTTTCATGCTACCCCTTTACACCACAACCACACTACTTCTACCAAGACAAAGGTAGTCCCAGGTGTTTTACAAGTTTTGTAGAAAATAAAACACAGTTTATATGAAGCAAGATGAAATACCTACCATTCTAAGTAGGATATTATTATGACTTATCAAACTAAGAAATTTATTACATGTACCAATTTACTAAAGGAGAACATTTCCTCTACTAAAAAACTGGTAAACAAGTTATACTCCACTAACAACTAATACTAGTTAGTGTGTAATAGGCTCTTTTGGATCAGATCACAGGACCATTTATTATGAACCTGTTAGAGATTTTAGGGTGCTAGGCTACTTAGGTGAGCTGTTCTTAAGGTATAATCATCGGCAATGTTGTATTGACAACTTATGTGTTTCTACAACAGCCTCAGATGCACTCCAATATCAGCATCACCAGTCAGTGCCCCCTTTCCATAGCCTTCACGAACATGCACACACACAAGCGCGCACACACACACCCCCTTTAAAATATTAAACTTAACTTACATATTAAAAATTTCCAATCATACAACATTCAGCACCCAATTATCTCTATTTCATCATTTCCAAGAGAGCCAAATTCACATTTCATACAGCTGGCTTGTTTTATATATGGAAAATATTCACCAGTTCATGTTATAGAATATTTCACTTTTTCTTGATATCTAAATGAGAGTTTATATTAATAATCATTCACAGACACTTCTGAGTCCCTAAATTTTACAAATTAAAAAACTGCTGATAAATTTAAATAGCATATTTTCATATGCTAGTTATTAAACAGTATTTTAAAATACTTACTTTATTAATTTTCTCTTTGGGATGTGTCAGAAGTGCTGGGAAGTGTGAAAGAGCATCACAATTCAAAACTACTTGTGTTTGCTCATCAGTTCCAGTAACAATGTTGCCCACAGCTCGAAGTGCCGCAGTCTGCAACAAAAAAAATTTAATGAGATGTTGTTCTATGTGAAATATTCCTTATTACCACAAAGGTGTGTTAAGGAGTTATAAGGTTCACTCATTCATGCCAACCTATCCTTTGAGCAAGATGTGTCAGATACTGATTTAAGGACAAAGGAGTGAAAGGACAATACAACCTCAGTTCAGAGGGAGCCTTATATTACTGAAGATACCCAAGTGAAAAAGGTTAATTTTACATTAACAGTTAGTGGAAAAGACAGTACTTTAAATTTTAGATTTAGCGTTTCATTAATTTAAGGAAAAAAATGTCTTTAGGAAGAAAATCAGAAGCCTATTTAACATATTTCACCACCAAGTTAAAAAATAACTCTTGGTGAGTTTTTCCTTTTACTGAACCACTCAGGATTTTTGTTTGTTTGTTTTTAAATTATGATTATTAAGGTAACATTGGTTTATAGCACTATATATATTTTAGGGTCAGGTTCACACCTCTAAAATTTTTTTAGAGATAATTTACTTACCATAAAATTCACCCTTTCAAAGGGTACGAATCATATCACTAGCATATAATTATATTACTAACATATAATTGAAGAACATTTTCATGAACCCAAAAAAGAATTATCTGCACCCCTTTGCATAATCCTAACTCCCAGGCCCCTGGCAAACACTATGCTCATCTCTATTTTCCTACTCTGCACATTTCATATAATTGGTTTCATATAATTGGATCAAACAGTAGATGGCTTTTGTGTCTGGCTTCTTTCACTCAACATAATGATTTCAAGGTCCAACCATGTTGCACCTGGAATTAACATTTCATTCCTTTTCGTGGCGAAATAACATTCTACTATACAGATATACCACATTTTATCCAACCATTCATTAGCTGAGAGATTATTTCGACTGTTTTCACTTCTCAGCTATTATAAATGTTATTGCCATGGACATCTGTGTACAAATCTGTGTGTGAATTTATTTTCAGTTCTATTGGGTACATACTTTGGAGTGGAATTGCTGGGTCACATGATCATTCTATGGATAACGTTTTGAGGCACTGTCAAGCTTTTTAAGGAGATGACACCATTTTATATGCCCACCAAAAGTATATGAAAATTATTTCTCTACATTCTTGTCAACACTTGTTATTACTGACTTTTTGATTACTGTCATTCTGGTGGGTGGTAAGTGGTATTTCAATTGCCGTTTGAATAGCATTTCCTTAATACCTTAATTAAGTTCACCATTTTGTGTGTTTGTTTCCTCTGAATAACTGTACTTGAGTATTCCTATATTTTGAATTAGTTATCTTTTTATTGTTGAATTTTTAAGAGTTATTTGTGTATTTTGGATAGGAACCCCTTTTTTGGATACATGATTTGCAAATACTCTCTCCTGACCGGCAGAGTGTCTTTCCATTTATTTAGGTCTTAATTTCCTTTTTTTTTTTAAAAAAAAAGATTTATTTATTTACACAAGCACTGGGTACAGTCAGAAGTGCAGGAGGGTGAGAGAATTCACATAGTCAGAGCGGAGAGCAGAGCAGCCAGACTGACGAAGTACACTGCTGAGGGTAGCAGCGGGCAGCAGGAGAAGTCTGTGCGCCATGTAGGACCCTCACCCGGTGGCCGGGGATCAAACAGGTGCTGCAGAGGCTGCGGGAAGCTTCGCAACCTAGCGCTCCACCACTGCGCCACAGGGGAGGTCTTAATTTCTTTCAAAATGTTTCTGTAGTGACCTAACTCCTTTAACAAATAAATTTAAAGGGAAAAAGAAGTTGTAGAATAACAGAAACCTAAAGACATAGCTACCAAATACAATGTGTCCACCTTGTTTAAGTACTGATTTAGTCAAACTGTGAAGAAAATATAAAGCTATCAGTAAAATTGGGATATTAACTGGTCTTTAACCATTAATTTTTTTTTAAGTATTCTAATGGTATTATGGTTATGTTAAAAAAAAGTCTTTATTGTTTAGAGATGCAAACTGGATGAAATTATATGGTATCCGAGATTTGTGTCAAATAATTTGTGGGGCGTAAAGTGGGTTTAGGGGGAACCTATATGGCCAAATTATGGTGTGAAAGTTGAAAAAGATTTTTAAAAATATGAGTTATTGGAAGAAATACAGAAAATTAACTTTCCTTTAGAACTGGCTAAAGAAATAAAAGTCTAATATTGGACTCAGTGAAGTCCAATATTAAAACTGAAGATGCATTCTGAAAACAAAGAAACAAAAAACCTACAAGACATAAGCACCACTTTTTAAAAAAAAAAGATTTATTTACGTATGCATACAAGAGCTGGGGTGGAGGCCAGAGATGCGGTAGGTGAGAGGATTCACCAGACAGAGTGGGAATCAGAACAGGCAGACAGACTGAAATACACTGCTGAGAGGAGCAGCAGGTGAGACAGGAGAGGTCTGCTGTGCCATGTGGGTCACTTCCCTGGCCGGGGATTGAACTTGTGCTACAGTGGCTGCGGACAGCTTCATAGTGCTGCATCTTAACCCCTTGAGCCTCCAGGGAGACCCCCATAAGCCCCACATTTAAGAAATGAAACAATGATAAATATCTAGTAAGAATATTTTAAATTAGACACACATACCCTTGACAGCTATTTTATTAATCACTTCTTTCTGAATTTAGCTAGTGTTCACTCTTTCCTCAAAGTGGTTAAAATTTTAAGCCAACTGTTTCCATTCAGACTGTACATAGGTATCACCTGAAGAGCTTTTTAAAGCCCAGGTTCCTAGAAAATATCCCAGATTTACTGAAACAGACTTTCTAATGGCTGAGCAAAGGAAATTAAAAAACTGTTTTCTCCTTATCCACCACAGTGGATTCTGAAGTCCATTCAGGGTTGAAAAATAATTACATTAACAGTTGCTATTATGCTATTGTTGTATTTTATAAGACTAAATTATTTTAAGATTAAAGCATATTATTTACTTCAGAAGGGTAGGAAGAGCTTGCTCCATTTCCCTTTATCACCATAGTATGACAGTTACAACCTGTATCTGTGTAAATATCTCACCTTCTCTTTTTTGGTTCTAGAGATGCATATTCTTTGGGGAAAATATTTATGTGGAAGAATTTAAAATAAGAAAAGAATTTACAAAAGATTTTAAATAATTGAAAAAGAAACAATTTAGGAAGCCCCTAAGCTATGTATTTCATTTAAAAAAAAAAAAAAAAAAGCCTTGTGTTCCTAATGCTAGTGAAGCTAAGCATTACCTAAACTTGCCAGGTGCAGTGGAGAAGAGTAAAAACAAACAGCTGAGGGGTGGGGTGGGAGGAATTAAAGAATGGAAGAAGAAAAACAAGCAAAATAGGAAAAGCATAAGCATCAATACTTACTTCAGATGCCATTAAGTTGCTGTATGAATTGCTCTGGTCTATTTTAGAAATAGTTTACAAGGAGCTGACCTGGTTTTCTGGGGAAGTGAAGGTAGTTCTTGCTTAACTGTAGTAATCTTACCTCATTTTCTCCACATTTAGAATGACGCTATGACACGCCATTCTTTTCATCACAGACATACTGTTAGGGTTATTGGGTAAAAATACCCTTAAACTAAGGGTATTGAGTTGCGCATTTTCAAGTGTCATGCTTAAAATAATTAGTGGTAAAAAAACTTAGGTTTTTATCAACAACAAACTCACCTGAACTTTAACTTCCTGGTGGCTGAGCAGAGGAACCAAATGAGGGACTATTCCAGAGTCTATTACCATCTGTATCTGTTCATTGCCAGCATCAGTAAGGTAAGAGAGGGCCCAGACTGTGTCTACCAATATCTAGTGAATAAAATAAAAATTCAAATAGTCTTTTAATATTTTCTCATTTTAATTAATTCTTCACCATATGGACTAACCTATGATTACTCTACCTTCTTTCTTCTTTTCTTCTCTCACTTCAATGCACTGGAATTTTGAACTTCACTACTGAACTTCACTACTAAAAACCATCATCTGTCAATGTCTGTATCAAGTACATGCATCTTTTAGATACATCTTTTAGGATAGTTAGGTTAATTATGACCCCAATCATAAGATTAGTAGTCCATCTTAATTAACTAAGGTACAAATATACTACGTAATACATGAAATAGGAGAAACAGAAATTCTCTTTCTCATGTGCTCAGACTGAAGAGTAATAGGTTCAAGGACATTGTGGTAAATGTACATATAATAGGTGGAAAGGCTGTATGTATCCAACATACACAGTTGGCTCAAAACACCTGGGCTAAATGGATATATTTGAATTGTTTCCTAATATCATCTGTTCCATGTAGGTATGTCTAAAGCCAATAGTCCATTGGTAGGATTATAACTGTTCCATCTTTTCCAACCAGTTTGCTTTGCCTTATAAAACTGGAGGCAACTTTGCAAATATTGGCACTCTCCCACAGCTACAGATCAAGACTTAAAAAGCAACCATATGTCAACCCCTGAGATCTAGAATCAGAAAACATGTTCTAGTGAGATAAAAAATACATACTTCACACTAGTTGCCTAAACAATTTGCCAAAAAGAGAGAAAAAGAGACCTTTGTAATTAATTTATACCAAAAAATAATCTGTTTCAAATGACTGTATTTTTAAACATAGCCGGTCATTGTGTTTGATCTTTTTTTGTATATTAACTCCTAACTAGAAGATATAGCCAAATGGAAATATGACAAACAACTGTTAAGTTACTGCATAAATAACAATTATTGGTAAGACAAAGGAACAGTAATTATGTCTGGAGTTTTACTTCCAGGATTTTTCTAGAATATGAACTTTGGTAAAATATAAGCCAGAGAAGTTTGAAACTTTAAAAAGTCTAAACTATTGCTGTCTTTAAAATACCTAAGAAGTTTCTAAAGGGAGAAAACAGAACATTCATTGTTTCTTTCAGAAATTTAAGACTGCCTGGTGAGTATTTTTAATGTAAAAAACACATCAAATGAAAGAAAACAATTAAATTTCAACTTACAAATGTAACTTTTCTGGAGTACCAGCATATGTCAAATTTGTGGACATAGGCAAAATACGTGGGCATGGCTTTATGTAAAACCCAGATTCACTTTTAAAAAGGTCCAATACTACATGTGTCATCAACAATCACATCAAATTCATAATTTAAAGTCTGACTAGCGCTTATATATACTTGTATATACCAGACAAATTTTATATTCCATACATTTACTAATTATAACCAAAGTGTTGTTTCACTGGTTTACTAATGGTGTGTGGAAACAGTTTTATTTTTAATTTATTTTTGATGGTCTGACTTAAGAACTTGCTAAGTGTTAACCTAAGGAGATTTTGTCTTCAGTATAAAACATTACTTAGTAAACATGCTACTAAAAAGAACAAATGCAAACTGGTTTGAGAAATTCAAAAGAAAGAAAAGTGGAGTCAATCTTAACAGGACTGGGATGAATACATGAAATGAAGAGTATCATATCCTTGAATAAGATCAACCGGTATCTGGTGTTCCTACAGGTGTAAACTTTCAGATTAGTATTTCTTGGAAATTTTTTTTATAATTTGAAATTTTTTTTTATAGTTTTTATAATTAGATCAAAAAGTTTGGTTGTAAGGAGCCCAAACCAAAAACTGCTTACATGATTTTTTTTAATCCTAGATAATCTGGAGCTTAAAAATGTATCTTTAGAGCAAATATGTTCACCTAATGAATTGTGTACATCATGTCACTGCTTGATATAACAAAATCCTAACTTTAATTTGTTCTATTTGCTTTAGAGAGATCCTGGCAAAAAGGCATTGCCCTTGAAACTATATAGGAATGAAACAGTTTATCAAACACTGGTTATCACACCAAACTGTTTTTAAGCACCCACACGAATTCTTGACTGTTACTATGCATTTTATTCACGTGATTTCCTTTACCTATTATAGTCCTAGCTTTTCTAACACAGTGGAGAGGTCAGTATGGCTTTTAGAAACAGCAGTTTTCCACCTCCGTGATACTTCTGGAGTTGCTTTTTCCTTTGCCATCTGTGATAGCAGAATGAGCAAGATGTATTTATTACGCTGAAAATCTAGTCTGCACTGCTTTTATTTCTCACCATTTGGATAATTAGGAGTTATCTTTATACTAAGTGAAGTACTACCAAAATCATCATAAAAATGACAGAGAAATGAAAATGTAATTCAAGAGCAACTGATGTTCACAGTTTAATATATATAAACTAATACAAACCCATAAAGCAACAAATATTTCTCTTTTTAACTTTCAAAAAACAATACCACCACTAGGTATCTATGCTCTCTTTGGCCCATTTGTCAAATGAGCTTCTAATACATAATCTTAGTGAGAAGATCACTAAGAGGCAACTTGAAAAACTGCTAATGTTGAGTTTTTACAACACTTATGTATATGCATGCACATTATGCATGTACATTATTCCAGGCCAAAATAACAGGCTTCATTTCTTCACTGATTTGATATTTTGTGATACAGGTAAAACAGAAAATATAAAAATATCAAACAATATATTACAGCTCTTAAAAAGGATAAGTTTGTTAAAGTAACATGAAGTTCAGTTTAACATTTTTCTTCCCCTATGTCACAGGTACAGCCCCAGACATACACACATATATAAAAATAAATGATGTACCAGTAACATTTACTCACATTTACATCTGTGTGATGAATTAAAACACAAAGAGCTGGAAGAATCTGAAAAGAGAAATATAAAGATTTGAAAACATATACAGATAAAAACATGCATATATGGTATCTACTTTATAATTTTTTAAAAAAGTACAAAATACTTGTTTACCTCCTGGATGGTTTCCATTGGGGGTGGTGGGTCTTTGTGACGACATAAGTTGACCATTACCCAAGTGACATTTCGTAAGAAAGTAATAGGAATAGATGGACTTATGAAAGAAAGTAAAGGTTTCACGACTCCGAGACTTATAACATAATCTCTACACTGTGGCCCATCACCTGTAAGAAGGATTAATTTATTCAGTCAAACATGCTAATAATAAGCAATGCAGAAAACAAAGTACTGGGTTCAATATTCTGTTCCTGTATTTTAAACAATTTAATTTTATATAATAGTTTCACCATTTTAGGTCTCTAAGCAAAGAGAAGGAACATATAAGGGTACAAAGATGATTTTTTTTGGGGCGCATTATTCAACATTCAGGTGTGGATAATGTGCACTTTATAAGCTATTCATTTATGAAATGTTTTTATGCTATCTAAACTCTGGAAGCCTAAGAGTTCTTTAAAATACTTTGTAAGCAAACAACTGTTTTGTAGACTTTATTCTGATAATCCAATATCAGAGGATCAAGAGTATCAACTATAAATTACTCTATACACTTAGGAAACTACATTCAAAACAAGAAGTGGCGGTCACCTACAACAATGGTTCCCAGTGATTTTTGGGCGCTAGCCTAGATCTACTAAAACAGAAACTCTGTAGGTACAGGATTCCCTGTTTTCGTAAGATTCCGATAATATGCTGAAGTTTAAGAATCTCTCCTAGAAAACTATCAATTTCTGTATCTAGAGTGTAACTGCAATTTCCAGTACAAACATTAAATACTATATTCTATGGTGAAAACACTTTTCCTTGTACTACAGTATTCAAAAGATAAAGTACTTGCTCTTTTTTAATCATTAATGTATTCTAATTAATTCTGCATTGTCGTTGAATTTAAAGTCAAGATGCTGGTAACACTTCCTTTTGAAAAGTCAATATTGTGGGACACTAGCCATCCCTTGCCTTCCATATCATTCTCCAAAAGGGTAATAAAAAGAAGGTGTAGGGCCTCCCTGATGGTGCAAGGGGTAAGTCTCAGCACCACGAACCTATCTGCAGCCACTGCAGCATGAGTTCAATCCCCACTGCCAGGGAGCTAACCCACATGGTGCAGCAGACCTTTCCTGTCTCGCCTGATGCTCCCCTCAGCACTGTATTTCAATCTGCCTGTTCTGATCCCTACTGTCTCCGGTGAATTCTCTCACTCCCTGCCCACCCACCCCGCACCTCTGCCTACATCCCAGGTCTTGTATGCATAAATTAATAAATCTTAAAAAAAAAAGGTATAATAAAGTAATACTGATTATGTACATGCAAGAAAAAGAATCTGTGGCAAAACATACATTTCAGTATCAAGGGAGACAATAAAGTGCAGGCCCCAGATTTTTTCCATTTTTCTACTGGAGGAGAGTTTTTTGAATTTTT